TATTCGTACTCGTGAAAAACTTCTTGATCATGCTGTTCATTCATCACTAATGCAAGTCTCTTATTAAGTACGAATGACAGTAGTATTGATATGATTGATTTATACTTACAGTTGCTGTAGAAAATTACTCAATGACCTTCAACTTCGGTTGCTAAGGTGTGTCACGGGAGGCGGGAGCCGCAAAAATTCTACTTAAAACTTTGTACTCTTATAATACTGTGTTACACTATTCTGTTTATAAGGAACGAGCTGAACTTTAGAACTGAAGATGGCTTAAACTTCAATATTAATTTATAATTTCTGTATTGTTAGAGAATCTGAATAATCGGCGAACTTCGTTGAATAGTAAATCATTTTTGAAATGAGTCTTATATAGATCGATAGATTTTTTGAAGATTCGAAAAAGCATAAAAGGGTTCATGTTCATTGGTCTTCCGAGTTGAGTTATGATCTACTTTGGCGAGTTTTTCAACAAACTATCATAGCTCTATTTAGATAATTGATTTTTTAATTCAAAAATTGCACAAATATAAATTTTCAATGGAATTAACTCATTATGAAACTGTCACATTTTCTAGTATTTCTTATCGTTAGATACCAATACAGAAAATTGTTATGCAAAAAAAAAGAACTTTGTTTTTATATCTATATTTCAGCATAGGAAATTCTAACTCTATGATGAAACTTTTCGTACATTATATTAGTTCATATTCGACCACTAAAAAACAAAAAGTTTAAAGCCAGAAGCAGTTATTAAGAAAGAGAATGTTTCACTATTTTCGAATACATGTTTAAATTTTTCTTCTCATGTAAACTTGAATAATCATCAGTAAATGTGTTGGAAAAGTCCAACACTATGTTTGTATAAAACATAATAATTGTTTTCGCGTAATCCTTAGTTTATTCCTTAAAACAGCTTAAATTCTGCATAACATGAGATATTACAACAAGCAAAATCTCATCTATTTGTTTCTCGTAAAGGTGTTAGTTTCTATGGAAACCGACTTTGATCAGAAAAATCACTATTTTAAAAACTGTAAATAGTGCACTTTGGATAGCGAACTTTGTTCGACAAAATTGAGCTCTGAAAGTGTTTCACTTTTTTGAATGGGATAGATTTCAATCGAAATACAAAATTGATCAAACCGAATATTCTGCACAATAACTGTTTTTTTCCTTTTTTGAAACAATTTTATTGTAGAAGAAAATTTTGAATACATATTTAGAAAGAGAGAAAAATTCTGGTTCTAACTAACTGTTTCTGACTTTTAATAGCTATCTCAAAAATTAATGAATATTTTATGTTAAGACTTTTCCCCGTAGGTTAGAAAGTTATAATGAGCTAGTCTTGTTGAGAACTTTATGTTTTAAAAGTTTGAATTTAAAAGCGGTCGGACGGAAAAACGATATTTTTTTGAAAAACTTATTAAATGTTCCTAAATCAAGAAAGGAAAAGGATTCATGAGCATGGATCTGGCATGGCTTATTCTTAATAGAATCTGCCTTTGGAATCAAGGTTCATCAGAAAAGCAATTTATTACTTTGTGAAGTTCACTAGTATAACAGTGCGTAATGAAAAATTATTTGTCGAAACTATTCTCTTACTAAATAATCCAGTGGCAGAGGCAAAACTTTGGACTAGGACAGAAAGCTTAGTCCTCTTTGCGAGATTTTTGAAAGATGTACTTTTTCTAATGCAAAAATGTGTTAATCTTGTCAATCAAACGCTTTAATATGTCTTATTTTGTGAAACTGATATATGTTTTTGAAGAAAGAAAAATGCAAGAGTTCTTTAAAAATAAGATATGTTAAAACGTTCCATTGCACAAACAGTTAAATAGAATGTCATTTTTGAACTAAAAGAAACAAATGAATAGTTTATTAACTAAAGTAGAGAATTTTCACAACAAGAAGAAAAAGGCAAAAATCAGAAGAACAAATAGAAAAGAGAAAGTCAAGTAGCTATATATGTAAAACGATTGACGAATAATCCTCACTCATTTATGATGTAATCGAATAGATCAAGCTAAATAGCTTTTTTTTGATCAATAAGTCATCTATGGTTATCTGTATTATTAGTATGGGATACTCACTTATTCTCAACATACAAATAATAATTTATTTGAAACTAATCCATTAAAAAAGCAAAGTATCTGATGGATAAAAGTTTTGTTGTTAAATTCTTTTCTTTAAATGTCAGGATATGTTAAAAAAAAAACACTTTATTCTTAATACTCACTGTCGTTGTTCAATTTCTTGTATATCATTATCTTCAATATTATTGTTGTTATTTTCATTATTATATTCTTGTTGTTCACCATCATCATCATCATCAATTATAATACAATTATTAAAGAAATTTTCTGGTCGTTTATTAAGATTATCATTAGAATTTGCTGTGTGAATCGATGGGTCCGATTGATGACTTTTCAATTTAGGGTTTTGAATAACTAGTAAATTGAACATAAGAGACAAAAGAATGATTTAAAAAAAAAAGAACAAAACTTACGTTTCTTTTCTTTGGATTTTTGTTTAGTAATTTTGGTTTGTGATTGATTATTTGATGATAAATTTGTTTGATTTGTATTTAAGCGTTTGATTTTCTTTGGTTTTTTCTTTATTTGTTGATTATGATCATTTAAAACTGGTGTTGTTGATTGTGAATTTTGAACAGGTGAATTGATTGACTAAATATTAAAAGTCTTATATGATTATTTGAATTGATATTTAAAAGATAAAATATACTTTAGATAGTTTTGATGAAGTTTTCATTAATTTCTTTGATTGTGACTTTGTTTTTGATGAAATAGAATTAGAATTTGAAGTTTTTGAAATTGAAGATTTTGGTTCTTGGTGTCTTTGAAAATGATTTAATTTTTGTTCAGCTAATGTCATATGAACAGATGCAGATTTTTCGTTAGATTGTTGAGTTTGTAGAATATACTTTTGTTTATTATTATTCGAAGAAAATTTTATTTTTTGTTCTAAAAAATTTGAATTTAAATTTAACGAAGAAAAGCAAAACAACTTACGAGAAGATATACCTTCTTCATTTGATAAATTTCTTTTTTGATCTCGATTTTTTGGTATTGTTGATTGTAAATTACTATTCGATGATGTTCGAGAAGATTTCTAAAGGAAAAAAAAGAATTTCTTTTTTTTAATAATTTAATCAATTAATTTTATACGTATAAAAACTAACTTGAACATTTGTTTGTATTGATGTTCTTCGTGTTTCAAGTGGTCGTATTGCATCTTCATTATTTTTTAATAGTGTTGATAATAATGGTGGTATTATTTTAGTTTGTTCTTTTATTCGATTAGGTTTTGAAAAATTTGACAAAGATTTTGTTCTTGTAGGTTGAGTTATAGATTTCTTTTTTATATCATCATTTGAGCAACATCTATTTGTTGATGGTGGAACTTTATGTATTTGTATAGCACAATTTGGTGCACGAGTTTTTGCTTTGACTTTAGCTATGATATCATCTAAATTTTTGCTGTTAGTAGTTTGATTTGATCCAGTTGAAGATTTTGTTGACGAAAAATCTATTTGACCATCTAGTTGCGGTGGATATTGAAACATATTATTATCGTAACTTATTGGTTCAGTTTTAAGAGGACGATGTATAAATGTAACAAGAAGATCTTCAGCATGAGTTGTCGAAGCATCTTCAACTACATAAAATAAAACAAAAAAAAATTGAAATGTACATATTTAAGTTAATCGAATAGCAAGCCGAAAAGAGAGAGTCGATAACTGTTAAAATTGGTAGACTCAAGAAATTCGATTTTTTTCTATATCAAATTATTAGACAACATGTCCGAAAATGAGCTGTAGTTGAATCAGTCATATAGCACTTATTTGTGCTGTGTACAAGTTGATTGAAAAATCAAAGGACTGTCACATGTACATTGAACTTGAGTGTTGATGATAATCAGCACTTTTTATCTATTCAAGTCCTAGAGAGTAGAATAAGGGTATTACTAAAAATTGTTAGGATAGATCATAGAGTGTTGTTGATATTGCTAAGAGTTTTTTTGACAAGAAACTTCGAAGATACTCTTGACACCTTTCCTAATTTAGAAAAAGTTAGTTGTTATGTTTAAGCGAAATTAAGTTTTGGTAAAGAAGAATCAATATTGAATTGGTAGGACAACTGATCATTGAACTATTCACAACTGAACATATTTTTAGTGCAAGCAAGAGAGTTTCGGAAGAAAGAAGACAAAATTGAGTGGCGACATTGTTAATAGTATTCCATTCTTACGAAAATTTTGAAATATGTAATAATTTTGTATTTGATTATCAATGGAAATCAATAAAATATGCTGAAACATAATCAAAAAAACTTCATCTTGACATATGTAAAAACCTGGAAACCGTCGGGTAGAGTAGAAAATCCATAGAGTAGGGTGGGTCAAGGGCATGAAAGAATCTTATCCTGTAGAACTCTGTTGTCTAATGATCTCATGAATGACTAGACTATTACAATATGATTCGATAGCATTTTTCAAACTCTTTCAAATGATATGAAAATATCGAGAAAAAAAACAATCGCCAAACAAAATCTTAAGGACATTGTTCTCAGAATAAGACTTTGAGCCTTCGTTTTCCTGACATTCAGTAGATTTCGATAAGAAAATTACGACTTGGATGAAAACTAATATGATACTATGAGCTAGCATCCCAAATTGAGTGGACTTATGCGATCTTCAAATATATTAGGAAAGATAATTTAAATAGTTATTGATCTCCTTCTTTTCCTAAAATGTCTTGTTTGATTGTTTAGAATAAGATTCGAAACGAAGTCTTATTGAAGAGATGGCATTTTTAAAGTATGTTTTCTAAACATTGATTCAGTCGAACTTCAATCTATGAAAAACACTGTTAAAAATAACTGATATTCTTATATTCACTTGTATTACACTGAGATTTGTTTAGAATTATGAAATAACTTTAAAATTATAGTTCGATATATATGTAATTTCTAGATATTAAGAGTTTTTTGCTTGAAACAAAAACACATTAACTTTAGACGAAAAAAAACGAGAGAGAATCTTAGCATAAGTAAGTTCATCAAATATTAATCAGCAAAATATCAAATTTTAATTAATTAGTATTACTAAATTATTGATGCACATGTCTGTTATACAAAGCGTCCAAGTTAACTTAGCTTTACTTGAAATAATCATATGATTATCAAAAGGAAAGACTAGCTACATATACTTAAGAATTTTTGTTAAAAATTATTATTTAGATTCCACTAAGTTGATAGACCTTCGAATGTCTTCACTTTGTTAACATACAGAAAAAAAATTGTAATACAAATTGAACATTAGATAAGTTCGTTTTCTTTTTCTTCCATTTGTAAGGAAATATTTTTTATCAATACTTCTAAAAACTTACATATGTACTCTTTTTATACAACGAACATATAGAATTCGTGTTCCTTTTTGTTCAAATGTACTTGTCTTATTCATTATTATCTAACCTGTTAAGCAATCCATTTGATTTGTCTCATTATCTTCATCATTATTTTCGTTACTAGTTGATTGAATAATATTTTCATTTTGATTTTCGTCTTCATTATTATTATCATCATCATCACCATCATCATCGTTATCGCTTAGAGGTTGAACGTTTTCTGGCTCCCATTCGGCAAGTTTATTGAGATAATCATCATCGTTAGTTGATAATACATCATCATTATCTTCTGATGAGGATGAGGATGAATCAGTGGACAGATTTTCTTCGTAATCATTTGTAGGTTTAATTTTTGGTTGATAACGTAAGAATGAACGTGATACTTTGGCATTATTCGATGGTTGTTCTGGAGGAAATGATTTAAAATCAAAACTTGTTATATTTGAATTACATTTGAAACGACGTTCAAATAACTGACGAATTCGTTGTGAATTTAAATCAATATTAATTAATAAGCAACAATCATTGTAGAATAATGATTTATAGGACATTTGATAATAATTACTTAACTAAAAATAAAAATATAAAATCATATAGGACGACGTGACAATTGTTTTGCTTTTATTTTAAATATTTACATATCTGAATCAATAAATAATTTCATATTGTAACAAAAAGAAAATATTTAAACAATGATAATTATATTCTAATTACAACAGATCGTTAAATATTCAACGTAAGTCGTTAAAAAGACGAAAGTTAGTTCGGGTATGTTTTTTTTTGTCTTTATAATTTCCTTTCTGGATTAATCTGATTAGTCATAGGAGAATAAATAAGAAGAAAAACTATAGATGCCGTCAATGTTTGACATGTCATTATGCAAATTATTCACAATTGAATGAAATTGAACATATACATGAAAAAGTTTCAATAATGATATTGTTTTGACAATGAATAAAATTAACTTTTGATGTATTGATAGATTCAACAGTATTTAGATTTTCTGAGAAAAGAAATTTCCAAAATTACTAATTAGTGGCTGATTTAGAGGAAGAGGGCGCTAGGAGCAATCGCTCTCTTCCAAAAGAGGTTTGTCTCGATTTATTCTAGCAGAAAAGCTTGAAAATGAGCTGGTAATAGCTCTAATAAACTTCAAGACACGTTTTATGATTATGAGAAGATAATCTTCAAAAGATGTTGCACGAAAATTACGGAAAATTCTTTTACATTGATATGGATAAATGAAGTTATAAGTCTATATAAAAACTGAAACCTGTCGGATTGGTCCTGAACTCGATCGTATCTGGGTTCAAATATGAAACTTTTCTATTAACTGAATCTGGATCCAGATCTGAAAATTTTGACCTCGATGAACTCTAGTCATCGAGTATAAAAGAAATGGAAAAAAGTATCTCGTACCTTCAGAACGGCTATCTAATTTCGATTAGAAAATTTCATTGAAAGTATCAAAATATAGTTCGACCGAATTCAAAAAAGTTTGATCAAGCGATTCGATAAAACGGTTATTGATTGTCATGCTTCCCTTCATGTACATCTTTCTTTCCTCTGTACTCGAGCGTTCACCTGTTGATCTTGCGTGACTACCTCTTATTGTACTATTCGTTGATCGTTTCTTCTTTGTTACTGTACGCTTACGCGTGACCATTTTCTCTACTATGTAAGTAAGTGTAAACGAAGGAAGAGCATAACTAGAGATTTGTAGATGACAAAATATACCATCATACCGGCGAACCTAGGCAAAAATCTCTCAGTTCGTCACATTCAGATCTCAAATACGGCCAATAAACCAAGTTCAATAATTTTGGATCCAACGGGCTCTAATAGAAGTTCATTTTTAGAACTAAAAAAAAATTTGATAATTTCTGAAAATTGGTGTGATTTGGAAGTAGAGGTCTCTCATGCTTCCAATGAAATATATTTATGATTATTATTTAGAAATTCAATAATGTTTAAAACTAATAAATGAATATTGAAATCTCCTAGAAACGGTCGAGACGTCTCAATAACTTCTAAAATTGATAATACAGTATTCTTAGAATTCCTTCCTTATTCTTGAATAATTATCGAAATGACCTTCTCATGTGTTAGTTATTTAGAATGTTTCATTTTTTTTTCGGAAATCTAAACATACCTCTGTTGGAAATATTGACTTCGTTACTACTGTATGCATATCTGGATGTAACCTAAATTTGTTAATTGTTGTTTTTAATTATTAAGTATTTGTAAAGTTTTGTAATGCTTATAATTTTATTGAATAATTGTGAATCATTGCACTCGAATAATATGTTTTTACTTTTAGTATTTATGCTTTCTTTTATTAGTGATGTCATGAAAAAACATTGAATGAAGGTTCTTTTTTCATATAGATGAAAGGACTACTCGAATAATCAACGTGACGACAAATAAAAAAGTTTACTTTACGTTTATCTTATTTCATATCGTTTTTTTTTCTTCCTGATCGATCAAAAAATTATATGAGTCATTGCTATTTAATTAATTGAGTTGAAAAATATTAATCGAAGAAAAATCATTGAACAGATTCTTTTTGGTTAAATCTGCCCGTTGATTTAACTTGTTTCGAAATTATATATTCGAAGTTTTTGACTTCATAATAACAAAAAGCAATAAAAGATGATGATTGAAGCAATCTTTTTTTTTTGTCAATGAAGTTGATGATTTTATTATCTACAATATTGTTGGATGAGGCAGCTTGAATCAAAAAGTATTTGATTCATTTTCATTCGTCTAATATATATTAATGTCATAGAAAAAAAAGGATATAACGTATCATATATGAAACGTAAGATTACATCGTTATACACTCAACAGTTCCTGTACAATAACTATATCAAATGATGAGAAATAAAGAACGCAACATTTTATATCTCATTTATCTAAGAATTGTTTTCAAATATGACTGCAGAGTTCGATATGAAGATATTCCGCCACCTTCAAAATTGATTTTTGATACAGTACACGGAACCTCTCTAAAAATTCCCATAAATATTGAGTCCATAAAGGTAAACTTACGAAGTTCTTTTCTCTTTAAACATTAGAGTTCACGACTTTTCTAAAGATCAAGATCTAAATTAGGTCCTCAGTTTGTACAAATATTTTTTTCACTACACTTTAAGTATGCTTTTTCTAACTTTTGGGAGACGTTGAAACCTCTAGAATCTTGAAAAACCATCAGAGGTTTTCTACAGAACTACAGCCTATTTAAAAAGTTTCTTCTCTTAACCGAAGGAACATCAAGTGTCCTAAGCAATAAAAACAAACGCGACTCTCTATAATGAACTATATTTTGAAAAAAATTTGTTCGAAGTTTGATGATCACAGCACAAAAACTAATTTTGAGAAAAATGCTAACGAAATTTTTCTTCTTGAATATTGTTTTAAATCGAGGTAAAAACGCAAACATCATGTACTGATGGTAAGTGCTCTTCACACCGTATGAATCTGTGCGTATCACGATTTAAATAATGATATGCTGCGTCTGCCATCGTGATTACCGTGACGTATATTTTAATTATTGCACACTGTCAACAATAATAATTGCTTCAGTCAGTTCCAGAATCTTAAAAAACTTCTTAGAAGTTTGTAAAATTCAGTAAAATATGTATATGTTTGTAACGTAGATGCCCCAGGGAACATTCTTATATAGTTATCTCAAAAATAATTTGGTTTAAGGGACATCAATGGAGTGTAACTAGGTGATGAATTATTGTTTGAAAAGAATAATACTAAACGTGTGGCATCTCTCAATTCAATGAACTAGACTGTTTTTTAGTGAGAATTGGATTCTATTGATCAATTCTTTTTAGTTGCATTAGATGACGAAATATGTGGTTTTATCTTAGCACTAAATTTCCAACAGCTCTATTCTAACCCACTTGTTTACTTGAACTACATAGTGTGAACTGGCGAAATCATAAATGCAATAGGTAGACGAAAAAGGAGATGTTCAATTTATCAACATGTATACAATGAATTGAACACTTATTTCAGTTTATTCTTTAAAAGAATTCGATGATTGAAATCAGTTGAATAACTCACTCGACAATAATCACACATCTAATCCATGCAAATCTATTGTTTTTATTTTCTATAAACTGGTTTATTTCCAGTGCAATGTTTTTATTTTTATTTTTTTCATTCTTCTGTAACATTCATATTATTTCAACACTTGAATTCATTATATCAAAATAAATTTAAAATGAGTCAATGTTTATTTTAATATTCTATATTGAATTTTTACATAATAAAAAAACAGTTTCTTAATAGTTGTTGTTGTTCTTGCTGCTGTAACTCCTTATAACGATCTTACAAAACATATATACATGAATATAGTATATACACATCTATATATTATTTCGAATTTTTTTTGTACTCAAGTGTTTCGAACAGACACCTATTTATTGCGTATGCCAGTAATAAAATGAAAATATAAGAAAAACAAAAATAATTTTATTCATAATGAGTTTAGATGCATCGACATGTCGACGAAGGACAAAAAAGCATTTTGATGAATAGAATAGTTTATTTTATTTCGTATTCCATTCGTCAAGATGACAAAAGAGAAAAAGAAGAAAGCTGCTTTCCTTTCAAGTTTTATTTTGCATTGAACAAGAAACAATATTTTATGAGAAAGAAAGATTGACGAAATGCATAAGACTGCCTATATACAAGTCAAGTCAAGTATTTACTTTCTTGATGTTGTTCGAGCGTTTCTAACTCACAAGCATTTTACAAGCAGGAAAAAAGAGACTGACGTCGCACCATTGCATTTTGTCACTTCTTTTGTTAATCATCCGACATTGAGAACAAATATAAAATAGGTAAGAATGTTGTTCGAAATAAAAAATATTACCGTAAATTTAATACTATATTTTTTTGTCATTATTTCGCTCATGTATATGTGCTTGTCCTTTGAAATAATTACATATGCAAAAGTATGACATTTTATGAGTAATAGACATGAAAAGGTAAATATCTTTTTCATAAGATGATTTCCGTATGCTTCAAAAATAATTAATCATCGAAAATAAAGATAAGTTGGTCATTTTACGATCTAATCATGACAATTAATCATGCGATTACTTAGAGTTGTTTTAGATTTATTAATATAAATACTTGGAAATATAGATAGACTTTTTAATTTCTCTTTTACGTTTCGTTATTAATGTTATTCTACTCTATAATTAATGACTTTTTTCTTATATCGTTTGTGACTCAATATATATATATGTAGTAAATATCCATTTTCATTTTTGGTATAGTTTTTTTCCTTCAGATTTTTGTTCAATAATTATTAACAATGAGTTTTCATCCATCTGCATCAATTGATTGTCATACTACCCCGATGGAAGTATTATTACCGTTCATACAACAAACTATGAATTCTCCAGATCATATGACAACGAATGGTACAAAATTTAATGATGATGACAAGAACGGATCTCGATCTTCATTTACTGGTAAAAATTGTTGTCATTATCATAATACATCTGGTCAATATATATGTCGATGT